CTGCGAGGTTTGCCCGATCACAAGAGGATCAGAGCCTGGCTTAGCACTCGTTAGTGGATCAGGCCAGATCTCGGAGCCGCAGTCCCGCGTCCCAACTTCAATTACCGCACGCAGTTCCTTTGATTAATAATTCGGCAATTCAATCGCTTGCTCCGAATTCGTCCTCACTCCGGCGATGGTCGAAGACTCGTCAGTTCTCCGCTACGATTTTGAATTTGAATTGAATATTTTGCCTACGATTTGAATCCCATATTTTGCCAAAATATAGGATTCAATCTTGAATTTGACATGAAAAATTCGTCACGATTTTGATATTAAACTATAAGAATTTTGTACCAATAATAATGTTATTACTACTAGAATTTAAAAAGGTAGTTAGCTTCGAAATTTGAAGCTTCAGTGGCGAGAGTGAACATTTCTGTGTTTGAAATTTCCACATCAATTATTGTGAACTTTCCTCCAACAAATTTTATTGGTTGCATGGAGATGTTCCACGGGAATTGCTTTAACTTTTAAAGAATGTAACGTCACTTCTTTCGTTCAGTGATATTTTCCGTCGTGACACGACACGTGACCGTGGAACTCAACCTACATCTAAAAGCTAGAACTTAACACTGAAAGACGTTAAAGCCACTGCTTTACTAGGTTTTAAGGACTGGGTGGCTAAGCTTTAATGGTGTTGAAAGTTTTCACTCATGGCTTATACAAAGTTTCAGAAGGATTACTAGAATTTGAAACAAGAACCAACACCAGGGGCCACAGCTATAAACTAAAAAAACTGCGTTGTAACACATACATGCGACAACATTTCTTCTCGCTTCGAGTCACCGACATGTGGAACAGCCTCCCCGATAGTATCGTTGACGCTCCGAGTATGAACGCCTTCAATTAAGAACAGACTAGACGAAGCTATGCAGGAGCATATGTTCAGTCTTAAAATGCCTAGTAAATTACGGACCAGGCAATAAGTCCAGCAGATATCTCAATCAATCGTCAGCTATGGAAAGATCGGGTTCCAAAGGCCGGATCCCTTGTGAATCAAGTCACGAAAAATTCAAGAATCGGCAACAGGCCATGGGCCTATTTCTTCAGTGCCGACATTTCTATTCTATTCTATGAGAGCGAAGGTTCAATTTCACAACAGCTAACATTGAAAAATACGTCAATTGTCTCTAGATTTTTAAAATTTATGAACTGAAAATTACCAAAGATACTTAAATTCATGAAGTGTTCTACAGCTTCCACTGTTCATTTACCGTGCGATACGGGCCCCTACTCCATGCGTCATCGTTATTTTATTGTTCAAGGTTAGGCTGATGTGATGCGACTGATTCAAATCTTGCGTCATTTGAATTAAAATATTAAAATACCTGCCTTTCTAATGCTACAATAGTTTATCGTCTGATACCGTATGTAAGGAGATCCCTTTATTTCTTCCAGCTCCCATTCAGAGAACTTTCATTGCTTAAATCAACAAGTTATCATGGCATCTTCTGAAGACTTCTAATAAACGAATAAACAGCAGTGTTGTTTTTGAGGTATTGTAACTAAACATTTTTTGAATCATTGCTTTTGTCCAGGTCGATTTCAACACTAAAACTATACGTTGATTCACTCATCCTACGCATGACTTGAAAGATTTTTGCCTTGCTGAATTCCACAGCCGGCAGCTTCAGTGCTATGGAAAATACGTTACACAATCACAGAGCTTATAACCTTTAGCGTGTATGGTCCACCAGTGAACTGATCTGCGCTTTGTTAGCACCGTTGTAAAGTCGTTCAGCCTTATTTTGAGTATTCAAGTCGCCTGAAGACATCTGTCGACATCACTTACTATTGGTTGCTTCATTTACTTAATTAAGGATTTGGTGAGCCGATGATGGAGAAGCATTAACCTTTAAATGAACATACGCATCCTGCTGAACTTCAATGAAGATTCCATTATTTCATCACTGAAATAACAAATATATCAGGAAATATATTATAAAAAGAGTGGAAAATTAATAAATTTGCAGCGAATGCCTTACTTTCGTGATACTTTGACTGCCAAGAACGAAAATTTGTTGGGCGTAAAAATATTTTGAATACTGAATGTATTCAGTAAGTTCATGCATGATTGATTTCTCGTGAATGAAGATGTGAGTGGACTCAAGTGGACTCTCACTGAGTGAATGGACTTGAACTTGAACGTAAATCATTCATAAGGGTAACAGTACTCTGATCTCGAGCAAGAAATTAGTGACCACGTCGCTACTAAAATCATTGTAGCGAAAGGATTATATCGGTAAGGATTATTTATTTAAAATGCATATACAGATGACCTATGCCGACGACTAAATTTACCAGAGTGAACTTCATTTATCCGTAGATTCCTTGAACCTACCAAGGACTGTACTATCAATATACATTTACGAGTTCGTAACTCTGTCAGCCAATCACCGACGGCTTTTCAACTAAACCCGCAAATCACAGACAAAAAATCGGTCGCTACGCATACTCAAACGAATTTTGATAATACGTCCCAGGTTCACAAAAACAGATAAAATCTTGACACAAAATATCTCATAGTGAGCTAGAAATGAATGAGATACAAAAAAATTATCAATAACGATAGTGAGTTACGTTGAACACCATGAATAATTGCGGCAACTTCTGAACAATATTGAATACCGTGCACAACCTGAAGAGTAAAATCATTGTCGCAATCTGGACATTACCGTAATCTTTATATGCAAATATGTTAACGTTATGTACAAGACATAAAAACATCAAGAGACTGGATGTGTTGCTTGTTGGTTTGTTAGGTTGAAAAACTTATTAAGCATTCTTTGAGTTGCCAAGAAACGACACCACTCATTTCATTGAATTCAAAATTGCAAGGAAGAAATACATTTCAGCATGCACCCACACCTACTATTTATTTTGACCGCAATTATGTTCATTCAGATCTGCAAAACGCCACTATAAATTATTCTTAACAACCGAGTAATTGCTCCATTAGGAAACACTATATATTTTTTCCATACAGATACATAACTTTCCGGCGCAAAAGCAAATGGCAGGCAGCATGATCATGCAGTAAAAATAAATGGTAGGCAGCATGGTCATGCAGCAAAAGCAAATGGCAGGCAGCATGGTCATGCAGCACAAGCAAATGGCAGGCAGCATGGTCATGCAGCACAAGCAAATGGCAGGCAGCATGGTCATGCAGCACAAGCAAATGGCAGGCAGCCAGAGCTGAAGGCAGATGGCAGAAGGCAAAGAAGGCAAGCAGCGCGACTCACGCTCCTCTCGAAGTATGTGATGAGGAACTCGAGGAAGAAGCAGACGTAGTAGCCCGAGTGCAGGCCGTGCCACACCGTGTTCAATTTCACAACAGCTAACATTGAAAAATATGTCAATTGTCTCTAGATATTGAGAATTTACGAACTAAAAATGACCAAAGATACTAAGATTCATGAAGTGTTCTGCAGCTTCCACTATCCATTTACCGTGAACCTTCTCCGTGCGTCATCGTTATTTTCTTGTTGAAGGTTAGGCTGATGTAATACTACTGCTTCAAATCTTGCGTCACTTGATTAAAATGTTAAAATGCCTGCCTTTTTGAGGCTACAATAGCTTATCGTCCAATACAGTATGTGAGGAGATACCTTTATTTCTTCCAGCTCTCATTCAGACAATATTCCTCGCTTATATCAACAAGTTATCATGGCATCTTCTGAAGACTTCTAATAAACGGATAAACGGCCGTCTTAAGTTTTGTAACACCACACTTTTGCATCATTGATCTTGTCCAGGGAAATTTCAGAAGTAAAACTAAACGTTGATTCACTTATCGTGCGCACTGAAAAGATTTTTGCCTTACTGAATTTCACAGCCGCCAGCTTCAGTGCTATAGAAAATACGCTGCACTATCACGAAGCTTATAAACTTTTGAGTGTGTGGTCAACCTGTGAACTGAACTGCGCGTTTTTAGCACCGTTGCAAGTCGTTCAATGTAATTTTGTCTATTTAAGTCGCCTGAAGACATCTGTAGACATCATTTACTGTCTTGCTATTGGTCGCTTTATTTACTGAAGGATTTGGCGACCCGATGATGGAGAAGCATTCAACTTTAAATGAACATACGCAGTCTGCTGAACTTCAATGAAGATTCCATTATTTCATCACTGAAATGTACAAATATATCAGGAAATATATTATAAAAAGAGTGGAAAATTAATAAATTTGCAGCGAATGCCTTACTTTCGTGATACTTTGACTGCCAAGAACGAAAATTTGTTGGGCGTAAAAATATTTTGAATACTGAATGTATTCAGTAAGTTCATGCATGATTGATTTCTCGTGAATGAAGATGTGAGTGGACTCAAGTGGACTCTCACTGAGTGAATGGACTTGAACTTGAACGTAAATCATTCATAAGGGTAACAGTACTCTGATCTCGGGCAAGAAATTAGTGACCACGTCGCTACTAAAATCATTGTAGCGAAAGGATTATATCGGTAAGGATTATTTATTTAAAATGCATATACAGATGACCTATGCCGACGACTAAATTTACCAGAGTGAACTTCATTTATCCGTAGATTCCTTGAACCTACCAAGGACTGTACTATCAATATACATTTACGAGTTCGTAACTCTGTCAGCCAATCACCGACGGCTTTTCAACTAAACCCGCAAATCACAGACAAAAAATCGGTCGCTACGCATACTCAAACGAATTTTGATAATACGTCCCAGGTTCACAAAAACAGATAAAATCTTGACGCAAAAAAATCTCAGCGTGAGCTAGAGATGAGTGTGATACAAAAATATTCAATAATGATAGTGAATTACGTTGAACACCATGAATAATTGCGGCAACTTCTGAACAATATTGAATACCGTGCACAACCTGAAGAGTAAAATCATTGTCGCAATCTGGACATTACCGTAATCTTTATATGCAAATATGTTAACGTTATGTACAAGACATAAAAACATCAAGAGACTGGAGAGATCGTCCATAAACTTTTATATTATTGTATATAACGTCTGGAAGATTGGCAATTACAAAGCAAATAGAGATGAAGACAAATCACGGTGATTTAGGCAGAGCGCACATTTTTATTAAACAGCAGCATTAACTTCTAGAACTTATTCCAGCAAAAAAAAAATCATGGAGTTACGGTGCCGTTGTGACTTCATTTATTTATTGTTATCGACAACCAAGACTGGAATTAAAATATGAGAAGTAAATAGAAGGCAAGTGATGACATTAATTATACATCGAACTCTGACCTCACGCGTGCGGCAGTGTAGGCGTTAAAGATTCATATCGTATGCAGTACAAAGCTATGGCGTCTAGCATAAATCTACATTAATATGAACAAATACCAGCGCACAAATGAACTCTACTACACACGTTAATGAATTAAATTAATAATATCGCGCAACTTCTTTATGATAATGTTTCGTAAGGAGTAAATCTATTGAACACGCGATTTAAACTTCAAGTGGCAGGTTTCCTTGACAGGTTACCACGAAATGTTGTTCCTAGTCGATGGAGAATCAAAGCCAATCATAATTTCAGACGATAATACAACTGACCAGCCACATCAATTTTTAAAATTTTAATTAAAAAAATTGTACTGAATTTTTACGGCACAAACGCGAGTAATTTTTTATATCTCACCCTGATATATGGAATAAAATCAAAAATAAATCACGTAGCACCCTCGAGAAGTATTTAGTGTTCAATATACATATTACTGCACTAACGTTACTGGCCCGACTGCACTGGCGACTCTAGCAACAAATGAGGCCTGTGGCTAGGCTTACTATCACACAAAACTTTCGGAGTGACTCGAAACAGACTCGAGGCATGTCAATTTACACAAAGAAAAAAATTAAGAAGGATGGCATCTTAAACCTTATTTCTGTCAGGTATCTTCCCACGTGCGATTTGTCCGTTGCGTTAAAATTTTATACGAGCCCATTGCGGATCAACAAAAATAATATGCAGAACAACAAAAATATGTGGAGAACAGTGACTAAATTTGCAAACGTATATGAGATTTCACAAGCAAGAAACATTTTTGATAACAACTAGCATTGCTACCCATTAAATCCGTGCAATTCAAGTCTAATTAGACTCAATTAGAATTAGAAGAAGTCAACTTATAATAAAAATTTATCAAGAAAGAATGGCACTTGCTATCTAAGTAAGAAAATTGTACCATAGTAGAGGCTACCATAAAGAAAGGAGAAGCTACACGCACAAAAGTTGAAGTCACACAGAAGCGCGTAGACACTAGTTTAGATACGAAGATTTTGAGTTAGAGAAAATGACTAGCTAAAGCTAATAATGAACACGTTAAGTATCGGAAACTAAAAAGCATGATACGGTTTAGAAAAGGGGCGAGATCGCAGCTAAGAGAATATTAAGAGCTTGCTTCGGCCACATGATGCTTTATAAATTCTCGAGAACGTAACCTCTCGCTTGTAAGCGTGAGAGATAAAAAGATGAGCTGAGCTGAACTGGAGGAGAACCTTAAGGAGAAGGTTAAGGACTGCTACGTCCGAAACAAATACCAAGGATACCAGGGATACTAAGGATACCAAGGATACTAAGGATACCAAGAAGAGAGGGAACCTCCGCCACGATCTGGCCTATGGGCGCGCTGCGTCAGGAGCGCAGGCGATAAGACGTCCCAGGCTCGTCCATCGCAATGAAACTTTAAAGGGTTATGTTCAATATACACTGACAGTTTGCTTGTAATTAGATCAAGAAAACTGGGAAAACGGTTATGTGATGAGCGGGAGAGGCTTCATAATCTTGTAGTCTCAGGAGCCACGTGGCATGGGCAATCTGAACACTATACAAGACATTTTTTCTGCCAATAAGAACGACTTAACTCACAACTCATCGTGGCCAGACTCGAGGCTACATCATAAATCATATGTCTGAAGCTATAAGTCAATTGTCTAGAGCCCTAGACAATTGCAGAATTTTGACACAGGTTTGTGTAGCCCAAGACATAAAACAGCACCATTTCACACATTATGTGACCTTCAAACTACTATACAATATTATACAACTAACACAACCAATATAGACCAGCACACAACATACAAACCCACAAAGAAACACTGCATGTGTGGATTGTCAACGTTGAGGTACAAAAATGAAGCACGTGCGCTCGATACGTTAACATTAACGTGCATTCGATGAGTTAAGGTGCACAGGAGGAGAATTTACAGCCGTGCAATAATATCATCACTGGCATTTTAATACAAATTAATATGCGCGTATAACAAAGCACGATAACAACTAATAATGCCCTAGAAAGATTAATAATGTTGCATAGGTGACTTTGATTGAAATTTTTAAGAATCAATAACTAGAATATCTTTTGAGAGAGTGAGTCTCATACCCGATTATAAATTGAAAAAGTATGAGGAATACATGGAAAATTCAGTACCGCAAAATAGTGCTGCAAACACAGAAATACAGCAGAACTTACACGAGCTACTAAGGCATACAATAACCGAGATGTTCAGAGCGGTGAGATATGGAAGAGCCTAATTAAACCCGTGGGCGCATCCTGGCGTCATTGTGGAGAAAAAATGTGAAAGCCTCAAAACAAAAAGTAACTTCATGATTCGTGATAACCCGTATTATATTACAAATAATTGCTTACAGGAATGCACGATCAGAGACCACCATACCCAAAAAGATGCTAAGCGCCTAAAAATCAATGTCCTTATAGATTTGACTACTACAGTGCTGGCATGAACCTGAGTGAACCTAATTCTGTGATTGAGAATACAGAATTTTCAAAAGAAAAATGGCCAAGCATTAACTTTTAAATATCAGATGCGATCAAGTTATAACAACTACGACAGTTGAAACATTGGCCTGAAAAACTCATGTTATAGATTCAAGAAGATAGAATGTGGTCTGAAAACTTTGACAACCATCATAAGAAAACATTGGAGATGAAGTAAAGCGGAAATTTGAACACATACAGCATCATTATTGCTGTAAATATAGCTCTGGTAATAAGTTTAACCTCTGTCGGACTGCATAGGCACAACTGGACGTACACTTGGTAGGATTACCATGTTGTATAATTATGCAGTGCAACATGGGTTAAAAGCGCTACGAGGAACCGACAAACATGCGGCGTCTTCAGTCCTGCTTGACTGTGGACGCGGGCGGCTCGGGGTGAGGCTCTTTAGACTTCTCTTTAACGGGCTTGCCATAGACGGCGTCCAGAGCCATCACGACCAGCGGCCGGTACAGCACCCAGCCTCCGAAGAAAATGTGGCCGATGAAATACGTAGACTTGAAGAACGTCCACCACCTGAAAATTGTACAAGTCTGGTGACCCTTATCCATTATTAAGTCATGAGCTTCGAAAAAATATTCTAATCTCCTCTGTAATGAAATACAGAACAAATAGCTTATGTGTAATACAATAATACATTGAAAATTGATAAGCTATTACTTTTTCGTTTGGGTAATAACTAAATTGAGGCAACGCATAAATTTATCTCAGAAGATAACGTGGGTACACGACTGATTTCTTCAATGCCAGCTGGCTAGTACATCCGGTGTAGCGATCCAAGTCGAACAATTACCTGGCCAGTACAGACTACAGAAGCTACGAAGATATATGGAATAATCACCACACTATGTCGTCACTTTAAACGCTTTCTCTTACTTTTAATTACTGGGAATTATGAAAAGGCGAGGTAGCGGCTGAGTGCAAATACATATCAGACATGAGCAGCACGAAGGAGACGAAGGAACAGCTGAGTCCAAATACCTGTACGACTTTAGCAGGACAAAAGGGGCGAGGCTGTAGCCGAAGAAGACCATGAGGTAGAACTTCATGAGGACCAGGCGGAGGGGCTTCACAAGAGGCAGGTCAAGTTGCTCCTGCAGCTTCGGGTACTTCTTCAGCAGCGACTCGACCTTCACGATAATTGCAAAATTAATGAGATGTAACAGCATTGACGACTCCAAGAACCGCCTCCGACTCAGAAGTGAAATTTCGACCCGCAGAGCCCTATCTAAATTTTGAGTTGGTGGCGACCCTGAATTAGGAGCCGCCTAGGACTCGGAACACATGTAAATCAGCTTCTCTATGTCCGCTTTGGCTCAGGGTCCGAAAGGCAGCCTCTCGGCAGCTTAAGCTAGCTCGGTATGACTCGGCTGGGCCAACTCTTCTCATACTCTCAGGCGACTATAAAGTCGGAAAGGAGATTCTGACCAGAAAATGATTTCGATCGGTTGGCCAGCAGACCCAGAATGGCTCTACGCCGAGTGTAACAACTATTCGGCCGAACCTTAGGCTGTCCCCGAATTTGGTTAGGGAGGGACTCCTATTCGTCGGAATACTCAATAATAACTTACGCGCAGTTTTCATTAGACACGCATAACTTATGAAGTTCATTGCAATCAAACGTGTTGCTTGTTGGTTTGTTAGGTTGAAAAACTTATTAAGCTGCAGCGCGACTCACGCTCCTCTCGAAGTATGTGATGAGGAACTCGAGGAAGAAGCAGACGTAGTAGCCCGAGTGCAGGCCGTGCCACACCGCCAGGAACATGAGCGCCGTGAACGTCGACACGTTGCGGTTGTTCAGGAACTTCATACGCTTGTACACGTACCTGTAACACAGAGCTCGTGTATAGTCAACACGTCACAGGTGCAGAATCAACACGTCACAGGTGCAGAATCAACACGTCACAGGTGCAGACTCAACACGTCACAGGTGCAGAATCAACAAGTCACAGATGCAGACTCAACACGTCACAGAGGCAGACTCGACACGTCACAGGTGCAGAATCAACACGTCACAGATGCAGACTCAACACGTCACAGGTGCAGACTCAACACGTCACAGGTGCAGAATCAACAAGTCACAGGTGCAGACTCAACACGTCACAGGTGCAGACTCAACACGTCACAGGTGCAGACTCAACACGTCACAGGTGCAAACACAACACGTCACAGGTGCAGACACAACACGTCACAGGTGCAAACACAACACGTCACAGATGCAGAATCAACACGTCACAGGTGCAGACTCAACACGTCACAGGTGCAGACTCAACACGTCACAGGTGCAGACACAACACGTCACAGGTGCAAACACAACACGTCACAGGTGCAGAATTGCAGACTCAACACGTCACAGATGCAGACTCAACACGTCACAGATGCAGACTCAACACGTCACAAGTAAAAATCAACACGTCAGCACACGTCTTAACCACACGTAACGCGTGATGACATTACAGGCAGGAATATCATACATGTGAGTCGAAAATTTTATAAGAACCACGATCGTTATTTGGAGCACTTCTTGACTGTGAAGCAAAATATGAAATCTTTAAGAAAAAGAGTGGATTTTTCTTTTAAATTTAGATCAGAGATCGGATATAAAATTGTACACTAGTCTCATTTCAAACTACAGCCAAAGCTAATAAGTTGAAGAGTTAATGAGTTGAAGAGAATAAGAATACACTATATACATAAATGAGAATACACGTTCAGCATTCAACGTCGTAAGCAAATTTAATGAAACGAGGTTTAAAAGTCTAAGTTAGTTACATATCGGAAGAAGAAGAAAATCCGGAGTCAGGCACCAAGAACATTAGTTTATAAACGTTTTGAAAGACCTGGCGTTGGCTCAAGTGAACCAACGGAAGCGGCCTCACTTCAGGCCTCAGTTCATGATATAGTCAAGAAATTGACATACAAAATCAATGGGAAGTCGCAGATCGTGCAGATAAATGAAATACATTAATGTTGCAAGTGTTCGATGTGTCGGCAATAGATAACAAAAATCAACTATACAAGATTTACTTAGCAAGAGAATAGCATAAAATTGTACTGCATAAAATATTCATTTTATTCATAAATTTTACGATGTTGTAAAGAAAAAATTGCACGATTTAATATTTTCTAGATGCTTGGATTACTTGAAGACACGACAAGGCTTACTTTTGAGGCTTAATGTTGAGATCACATTAAAGTTAGACAAATGAGGAAAATCGGTTAGGGGATTATTAGAGGATCTACATTTGCGGTTAGAAATAAAAAAAAAAATTGCTGCGTTTTAAAAAATTGAAATATTGGAGTAAGAGACAGAGGCTATCAAGAAAACGAACGTGCAAGTTTATGTGAACCAAAAATGTAATAGGTGGTTCAGCTATCTTTTGTACCAGACGATCGAGGGTAGAAGTAAATACGATGCGTGTTGCCCCATCACAGTGAGATTAATTCTAAAGCATGCATTAGCGACAAAAAATAATGCGGATGTAGCGACGAAGAATTTAAATATTTAAGTTAAAAAAATGTTTGGTAATTAGCTTGCGAATTCGACTTAAAACAGATTTTATGAGGAAGAGATACTTATTAAAAAGATCCCAAGCAGTCCAGGGAACGGTGGCGTCACAAGCCCAGGCAAGGAAGAAAAGACGAGCAAGGATCGAAATAAGAGACTTACTTAGCAAGCCATCCGTTAGTGTTAATGTTGAAGGAAACAACATAGAGTTTAAAAGTGTGAGCAGTTTCGTGCAGCCACACTATAACGTTGCGGGAGGCGGTCCATGAAGGCTGGCCTGACACAGGGTCTGTGCCAGAGTAAGCAAGACCTACAGGAGGAGACGACAGTGAGTACCCACGCTGCACACAAATATCTCGGTTATATTGTCCAAATAATGACACGCTTGTTGCCCGTAGTAGCGCTGATGCCGCACTTTGCAGGGACACACAGGAGCATGATGAGTTGTATGAGGGATAAGAGTGGATCGACATTTGGAGATAGTCTTACTCATTTCTCTGTGTAAACGAGAGGGAACACACCAGCTCGGATCCTGCACCGTCGACCAACAATTGAAATGAAGAGTGCAAAATTCACCACAGATGATGGAGTTTAAAAAGTTAAATTTTGTTTTCCGTGAAATATATATTCTGTTTTCCGTGAAATATATATTCTGTTTTCTGGGAAATATACAAGGTAATATCGCAACAAGACTGACACACTGGTGTACTTTTTTTGGTGGCCTGACGTGTGCCACGGGTGAAGCTACAAGTCGTCATAGACGGAGTTGTCATTGAACTCCGCGACTTCTTCATCCTGACATACGTCAAGTGGAACAACCGAAGTCTTTGCTAACATTAAATATTCAGGTAAAACGAACCGGAGAAAACGTAGACCCGCGGGCCGTAGCTTCTCGTCAAAGCTTTTCTGCAAACGAATATTCAAGATGAGGTAAAGTTACAGAAAGCATGTGGAGTGGTAGCCTAGTGGTATGGCGGGTGATCTAGAAGGTAATAACAGCAAGATTTGAGAAGTTTGTTTCTTGTCAAGGCTCCAGATAACGGCGGAAAATTCAGGCGAGATGGCTGAGTGTTAGGAGCAGCAAGATTATATGAGCGAGAATGTGGATACGAGCCTCAGCGATAGCTGTAAAAATTTTGCGATGTCTAGAGTCGGCAACAGGTAAATCTTGTCCGACTTCACAGATGCCTATTCGGTGCATGGTTCGTATATACCACTTGAAAATACTATATACACTATATATATATGTATATATATATAGTATATAAATTCATCTATACATGGTAAACTATACTATATCTATAATATGACAATATAGAGGTACCTATATACATTTTTATAACGTAAGGGCAGCGATATATGAAGTTCAATCGAAGGTAGTCCTTGAACTAGACAAGGTTGGAGGCCTAAAAGCTAAAGTGTCTGAATTTCACATTAAGAATGGAAGTAATAAAACTAACTTGAAGTTTACTCAGCGTTAAATAAAACCCCGACTATAAGAAGCAGCCGTCGAGTGTTCAGATGTGGGCGGGAGTTTGGGTTGGCAGTTCCGAGGAGAACAGCGAAAACTCTAGATTAAAATTGACGGAAAATTTTTTTTAAATAGAGCAGAAGAATCTGTCTCCACTATCAGTAAAAGGACGAAACCCAATGACATACAGAAGGCAAATTCCATTCTCCTAATTTGCGAGAAATACCTAAACGGACATTTTTGGTCATGTTACACATAAGCAAATTTTAATTTACAACTAATATCGGATCGCAGATATTCGAAAAGTTTGGGACATGTAAGACGCGGACTCGCATGGCCTCGATGACCGCTCGTCAGATGAACGTAGTGCAGATGCAGTGTTACGGTGTCAAGAAAATAATGCCTATGCGTATGTTAGTTCATTAGCTGTATCTTTTAGGAGCAAAAATATTCATCAAGGCGTATTTAAAGGAAAAAAAGCGGAATAAGTTTAAAAATTTAAGCGCAATTGTTAAAAATAAGGAAAGATCCTTACTGAAGTAATCTGCAAAGAAAAAATGCACCGCTCGAAAATGCCAGAAGTAACTTTTGAGACAGCAATTCAATTCGTTCCAAGCTGCATTAATCACATCACTTTTCATGGCAAGTGACATAAACCAGAGTATTGAGAGCCCAGAAACGGTGCAGAGGCAGGAAAAATGGACGCCCGGAACATTTCAGAACAAGAATAGCACTCGACCAAGAAAACATCCAGACACCAAAGCATGAAGATGAGCCTTTGTAACCAAGTTTCTTTAGTCGAAGACGAAGCGAAAATCACATGTGCACAGAAATACACTGTTCACAAGTTGGAGAAGATCAAGTCTGCAGAAGATTTAAAATCGACAGACAATTTCAAGTCCACTAATGCTCACAACCTTAACGAACCCACTCTACAAAAACAATAAAAATAGTAATAACAACAAAAATCGGTTATCTGGAAATGCAGCAAGACAGCTTCGGAAAAATACAGTCACACTTGATTGCACAAGTCACGCTGATGCACACCAACCGCAACGAGTGTTTGAGCTGACATAACACTCAAGTCTAGCGCGCTCGTGATGTGAGAGAGCGTGATACATCAAAACCATTACACGCTACGAAATAATCACGTGGTTAATATTCTTCTTTACAAAAAAGATGGAGATCCCCTCAGTGGAACATATGAATAACGATAGATGTGTGTATAAATAGATAAATAAATAATCAATAACAACACTAGTAGTGACGACAGTGAATCACAGACAGACAAAACAACTAAAATCACTAACAGCAGAGTCGTGCTCCAATAAGAAACTACGACCACAGGGCCAGAAACAGATTAGAGGACATCGAGAGAGTGAGAGGTGCTTAGGAAGCAACAAGAAAGATCAACAGCAAGAAATCGGCAAGAGCTGCGCTCGTTCCAGAGGGCAGAGCCACAGTGAATCTTAGAGGAGAGAGAAGCAGTCAACACACGGCACCACTTACTTAGCCACCCATACATTGGTGTTCACATTAAACGACTCGATTATATGGTAAAACTTGAACGCCTTCTCAAAAAGGGTAACTTTAATGTTCTTGCAGGCATCCCAGCGCTCGAGACCGCTGCTGGAGTCTCGACCGTTGTACGATAAACCTGTAGGGACAAGTCGCTCAGTGACATGCAATAGCTGTGATCACAGCGGCTGACCCAGCCGCGCTGGGTTGTAGAAATAAACGTTCCTGGTAATTGTTTTATAAAAAAAAATAATTTTGAATCACTAATGAACATTTCCGGTAATTGTTTTACAAGAAAACAGATTACTTTGAATCACTAATGAACATTTCTGGTAATTGTTTTACAATAAAAGAGATAATTTTGAATCACTAATGAACGTTCTGGCGATGATTTTTTCTAAAAAAAAACATATAAATTGATCAGACGGCATTTGCAATGATTGTCTGATTTGAGGGTTCTCCATGTTTGATAGAATTTCCTGAAAACAATGTTGATATATTATAAGTTCTTAACACATGCAACATTTGCTGTGATGTTAGCAACAGAACTAGAGGTAGGAGAATAATAATTCATAATTACTTTGCAAAAGGTTAGCTGTGATGCATTGAAGTAAAAACTATCCGCAGGTAGTTTTGCGTGCTAACCAAGGCGGAATTTTATGAATGGTGCTTCATACATTCAACATCGATTCAGCCTGGTTAACTTCATCGGTTCTCAGATATTAGATAAGATTTAAACTAAGACCGAGTTCTAAGTTATGTTAAAGTTTTTTTTACAGGTGTGGACTAGTTCATATATTACCCAACCTGAATTTCACTCTATTTCTGACCAACACCATGGGTGGAAATACAATGAGAAATATGCTGAAGAACAGAAGGGAAGATGCTGCCTCACCAGATATAATGCAGACGCCCTCGACGATGAGCCAGCAGGAGTTGTACTTGTAGAGCGTCACCTTGCCCCACAGCGCCACGTACACGGCCTTCTTCAGCAGCGACAGCTCCTGCACCAACACTTGATTAAAGAACATTCTGACGCAGTGATAATTATTTAGATTCAATATTGAGAATCTAAATAAAAATGTGCGTTGTTGAAACATCAAATTATTTGTAAAAGATTTATTCACTCTTTACATTAAATACACAATAAATACAGCACTCATAACAAATAATATCATAGTAGGTCTAATAATAAAAAATATAACTCAGTACTCACTTCCGTGATTGAAAGAGAGCGCATTTGCTCGTCGACGAAAACGTGAAGTCTCAGACGGACAGACGGAAATGGCGAGCACAATAGTGCATTTTTCCATACATGAGAAATGGCACTAAAAATAATGTCATTGAGTGATATACATTATAATCGTCTATTTCTCACAGCAAATTCATCAGAGACGAGGTAGTCTTCTTTGAGCCAGACGCTGGACACCTGGAAGACGGCCATGAAAAAGAGACCCAGCGCCCCACGAGTGAAGCCCGCGAGCAGCGAGTTGGGCAAGTAAGAGCTGAACAAACGTCCCTGCAACACAGTGACACATGTAGTCCCTGCAACACAGTGACACATATAGTCCCTGCAACACAGTGACACATGTGGTCCCTGCAACACAGTGACACATGTAGTCCCTGCAATACAGTGACACATATAGTCCCTGCAACACAGTGACACATACAGTTCCTGCAACACAGTGATACATATAGTCCCTGCAACACAGTGACACATGTAGTCCCTGCAACAGTGACACATACAGTTCCTGCAACACAGTGACACACATGACACATCGTCCCTCCAACATAAACGCATTGACACATACATAAGAACTACACTACCAACACGGAGACGAGTCAACTGACATGGGTGAAGTCGAGGTATCGCTTCATGTTGAACTGCGGGCCGACCATGTAGGAGGCAGGGAAGTAGGTGTGTGCAGCCACCTCCAGCAGCGAGGGACACTCTGACAACGCCGTCTGTGCTTGCTCCGCGGACAGCAAGCTCTGATAATCAATGTCTCCATTATATACACATCTATAAAAGACCTAGCATGAAACTATGGTAGAACATAAGGCTATAGGTAGCCGATAACAAGCTCTGACAACTGACGTCCATTATAGATACATCTACAAAAGAACTCTAGGATGAAGCTATAGTATAAAACTACTAAACTACTGTAAAACTTTACTATACTATACTATCCTATACTTTAGTAGGTATAGTAATAGGTAAACTAAAAAAAGTACTTTATACCCTAAGTCAGTTAAGTAGGTCCAAGCCAAAACTTCAGAAATGGATTTGTATAGATGAGAGTTGACCAGTTTCTGTTCATGATTCATCAACTAACAGATGCTGAAAGTTAATACATTGATTCTGATTTATCATCACCTTCAACTCTAAAATTTGCTTGAAGAAAAATGTGAATAAAGGATGTTCATAAAAAAATGCATTTAATTTCCATATAATCATCTCACAACCAGGGGGATGTCAGAAACCCCTAACCTTGTCCTTTATTCCATCGTAGAGGTCCCAGGTGAGTGCAATGAGGCGCAGGGTCAGCACACAGTGTGGCATTGTCCACTTGATGTCGTATGATGTGGTTGCTGTCATGTAGTAGCCTGCAAAATGTAGTACCATGTAGTGCACATAGCACATAAAACTCAATGTAGTATATATATGTAGTAGCACACCTAATGTAGAAGACTACAGCACATAGAGCATCAAGATAATACGGCAGTCATGTTATAGCAAAACATTAATGCACAAATTATCGTAGCATTGCAAGCAACAAGCAATGGCTTGCAACTTTATTACTTGGATTAGAAAGTTTAAAAAATTAAAGTTAAATATTTTTTCCCTGAATAGGTACCATGGAAATTACTTATATAGGTATATCTTTCAATTGGCTGAAAAATGAGATTGTTTTAGACTTTTAGTGCATAAAACGAGTCTTTCATTTAGAACTTGAAGAGAATATTAAGGAAGAGAGCATTTATATAGTGGCCAGCCACCAATCAATCCACTTACTCAATAAGAGTAATTCAGTCGGCCACCTGGCTGCTTGTAAGATGGTAATTGCATGGCCTTGAATCTACATTCTCAAAACCCTCAAAAAACTAGCATAAAATTTCCTATCACCTAAGAGTGGTGCAAAAATAACAAAAAAAAATCTAATTTTTAACAACTTATAAACAGTAACAATGACCTAACAATTTTGGTATGTTACTATACAAATCAGCAAAACATCATGTGAATAATTCTTCTTACCCACAAGAAGGTACCCCATCTGGAAGATGTTGGCAAAGATAACTGACATCTGTGAGCCACCGCCAACCACAAGCCCAAGCCAGCAGACAAACACACAGATCATCGAGTGATAAATCTCCATTCCTAAAGAGACAAGGGCCATGTAACATATATTTTGTTTGTAATGGTATACCGTAAAAGGGGGTTACTTAGACTTTTGGGGTAACTTAGACCACTTTTAGTTTTTTTAACAAAAACCCCCAAAACTCAAAAACTATTTGACATAGAAAAATTTGTCAATGGCCATTAAAGGCCTAATACTGAGGCTATGTAACACAATAGAAAGATAAAAAAATTATGCATATCTAATAGGTTAAAAAATGAAAAATGTGACCCACGAAAAAGAGCTACTATTAAAGCCTGTGTAAGAACCCCCTCCAATTTTTTTATTTTTTGGTAAAATAACTCCAGGTTTTGGTGCATTGTAGTAGAACTCTTCTAGTTACATATGCAAATGACAAATTTGAGGAAAGTGTCATAGTTTGCAAATGTGGGCACTGCCCCCGAATGGGGGAACTTAGACCACCTACTGTCAGCCCTGATGGGGTAACATAGACCGGATTGGAAATTAATTTAGAAAAACCATATATACTACATAATTTATGTTTGATACACCTATTAATGTTTTTTCTTTATGTTTCAGACTCTACAGAGTCTTATATATGGTAATTTTAACTTGATTTCCAAGCCGGTCAATATTACCCTGTCACGGCTGACATTAGGTGGTCTAAGTTCCCCTATTTGGGGGTGGCGCCCCCCATTTGCAAACAATGACACTTTCCTCAAATTTGTCATTTGCATATGTAACTAGAAGAGTTCTACTACAATGCACCAAAACTTGGAGTTATTTGGAGTTATTTTACCAAAAAATATAATTGATTTTACCACCCAGTCTAAGACACCCGAACAGCTGGGGTAATAATGACATCACTTTTTTTTAAATTACATCATACCTATGAGAGGCAGGAGCCAGCAATTTATGGTGAGTAAACCTAGAGTATAGATCTGTATTTTGCATGTTTCAATTCAAGTTTGATTTAGTTGGTAAAAAAATGGCATAAATTAAAAAAAAATAGTCTAAGTTACCCCCCTTTCACAGTATAGGTAGGTATATTTATATAGGTACATATTATATTAATAGACATATAGGTATTCATTATAAGGAATTATATAAGCCTTAAGCCAGTCATATTGATAAAATTTGGAGATAGAAAATCATTGCAAATAGAAATAAAAATATCTCATGACACTGAGTTTAAAAGAAACCTAAATTCATGGTTTAATTATGGAAAAAAATTATAACATAAACATTAGACTAACCATTGTTGAATATTCCAATTGACATGCCACAGATGATGAAATACAGATGTTGTAAAGTGGGGTTTTTCCTGTACAGCAGGTGGCGGTGCACAAGCAGCAATGGGTAGCCTGTAAAAATATTTCATCATTAAATAATTTGATAATAAAAACATTAAAGACACATTGATGCAAGCCTTCTCACAATAAAATAAAATAAACATTGATTCATATTGACAAACAAATAATATCAGAATAAAATATAGTTTGAAAACTTTATCAACATTATAATTATAAACAGGTGAACATAAACTCTAGAAGCACATAAGAAAAAATTGAATTGAAAAAGAGTAAACTGGATAAGATAGCAGTAACAAGTTATGGAATAATGTTTAGATGATATTAACAGAACCTAAGCACAACTTAAAACTACCCGCACAACATACAGTGAAAATGGGGTGACTTGGACTATTTTAGCACTGGTACTTTGGATGATACAGGTCCCATAGTCGATAGTGTGGTCCTTAATATAATGGGACATTTTTTTGCATCAAGGTCTCCCCTTCAAAATTTGTGCAAACTGGTCTATAGACCACCACAAAAAAAAAATAATAATAATAATGCCATAAGTTAATATTTAAAGGTGCCTCTTGGTTACGGATGCTTGATGGTAAATGCAAAATTGTGGTAAATATCACACTTTTTTCCTAAATACAGAAATACATGGACTGGTGTTGTCTAAATAAAAAAAAATAATATTATATGCTTGATTTGCAACATATTAAATGCTATTTAGGGACTTGATTGGGTAGAGATACACAATTGCAGGGATCGTTCACAAACTAACTGGAGCTTGGGTCTGGGATTGTCTGAGGGCTCATCTGCCCTCCACCAGCCTCAATGCCTCAAGCATCAGATGTTTAATGGTTACAGAAACTTCCCCTAGCAAACAGAGCAGTACATATACAGTCTTCAGAAAGTTACCACATGTGGTTAGCAGGTAATTATTTGAAGCAGAAGCAGCATAAGGGTCAACTACCAGGCTTCAGAACCCACAAGAACCCCAGTAGTCATGTTGATGAGGGCTCATTTTGCACTGAGTATGCCAACATTCATGAAGCTGCTGCATTCAAAACTCATTAGAATGGCAGTTATCAGATCAACCATTGTCTGGTCACATTTCAAGCACTAAGTGGCACCTCTAAAAATGTTTTGATTATAGAAATGATCCATTTCAATCATATTCCTATACCAAAATGAACAAATTTGAGGGCCGAGCCAATTCAAATGATAAAAAAAATATTTAAGACAACCTTAATAGTCACATAGGAAATTCATAAAATATCCTTATTGCATTTGTAGGTTATCTCACAGCACTTCAAGAGCCATCAATCCAGTTTTTCTAAGGCAAGAACTATTAGAGTTCTCTGGTTTTATTTTCTTAAAGTTAGAACAGTCAAAGTCATCCTGTCAATGGTCCAAGTTGCCCCATTTTTAAGGTATATAAATTCTCACTATAAAAGCATTGTGCTTATGGTAAAAAGTTGCACCAGACAAGTTAGTTTTGCACTCACCTAGCAGGAGCGAGACAACCAGTCTAAAAGCAGCTTCTGGAGCTCCCAAACTGTGGGCAAGTCTGGAGAATAGGCCCATATTTTCCTCCATCACTTCTTATTTTAACTTAGATAGAATATTATAAATATAATTTAAAACTATTGCTCTTCCTAAACATAATCCACAATGAACTTCGAATGAAAAATCGCTGTGTAGCCCTGGTCTGGAAATTTCATGCGAAAAGTATGAGATAATTAATAATAATATTGATAATAGTTGAATAATGGTAAAAAAATAGGTTCATAAAGATACCAGATAAATATCATGTTAGGCAGTAGGAAGATCTATAAGCTATATTGAGCAGTTACTTGCATTAGTTGTATTATTGTATATATTCATCATTAACACATTAAAAGCTAGGTGGTTGTTGTTGTTGTTAATTGCCTGGGACCACTGCTCGGCGGTGCCCATGAAGAGGCGGCGGCTCCAGGGGAGGAGGGGGAAGCAGAGGTTCCGCTCCAAGGATGTCGGCAAAGGATGGGAGCGAGGAGAGGAAAGCCGCAGTCGGTCCAGGGTTAGACCAGAGGTACAGTGGGGTCAGCAAGGTGGGATGTGAAGGGCAGCTGAAGAGGTGATGGTGGTGTGGTCTATTGCACCGCACTCAGGGCAGAGTGGGCTGTTGACTGCAGCGATGCAGGCAAGGTATGAATTGAGCCGCGATGAGTAGCCAGAGCGGAGCTGGGAAAGAGCACTTCTGGCCACCCTGGGGAGGGATAGCTTGCAGGACGATACAGTGGGGGCAGGGGTCAGCAACACCTTATTGGGAGCTGCTGAGGATAGGTAGGATGAGACAGCAGAGTTGTGCAGGGTGCTGAGGGCAGTGGAGCAGGTGGCAGGGGGGGGGGGGGGATCCCTCTTCCAGCAGGTTAGAGACCCAAGGGTGGAAGCGGGACTGAAGCGTGTGCTTCATGGGACGGGGCCCTGATGTCTGGGTGATGATAGGGTAGCTGAGATGGTGTGGTCGAAGGGCACTGGCAAGGAACAGTGAGCAGAGTAGAGAGAGGTGGTTGGCCACGGGTAAGACCTCAGCTTCGCTGTGCAGGTGGGAAGCGGAGGCCATTAGAAGAGATCCCGTGGCTATGCGGAGGGGGAGGGCAGAGTTTTGAATGGTTTGCAGCTTGGAGATTGCCAAGGGAGAGGCATTAGGGAACCACACTGGGGCAGCGTAAGTGATGAGAGACTTTATAAGAGCCTTGAAAGTCACCAAGGTGACTTAGAGGGGTGACTTAGAGGTGATTAGAGGGGCAGACTGAGAAAAGTCTGAGACATACGAGTTGAAGAGGATGGGCAAGATGACGGAGCCTTGTGGAACTCCAGTGAGGACTGGACGTGGGGAGAAGATGCTGCTGTTGTAGGAGCCCCTGGCTGGCCTGCCTCTGATGTAGCAGATCAGCCAGCGGGTGATATTGGCATGGAGGCAATGTGAGAGATGGGCTGGGCATGAGGCACAGTGTCAAAAGCCTTGCTGAAGTTAATGACCATCGCTATTGTCCTGGTTGGTGGGCAAGGCTGGTTGAAGCCTGTAGCTATGGCCTGGGTGAGAGGAAGTAGGGCAGATGTTGTGGAGTGAAGGGAGCGGAAACCGTGCTGGCAGTCCGCCAGTGGAAGTGCAGCACTGAGGGAGGGGAGGAGCAGATGCTTTACAGATGGGCACAGAAGGGAGACAGGTCAGTATGAGGAGCTTATGGACAGAGGTTTGCCCAGCTTTGGGATGGCAATGATTGTGGCTGACTTCCAAATGGCAGGGATGTCGGCCTTGGCAAGGGACAGGTTGAAAAGTTCGGTGAGGTACTGGATGCCTCTGGGACCCAGAAGACGGAGGTGGAGGATGGTGAGGGGGTCTGGGCCGGTGGCAGTGGAGGTACTTGAGCTCCAAACTGCCTGTCTGGTTTTATCCAGAGTGAACGCGGGGGGTGTGTTGGAGAGAGGATTGCAGCGCTTGATGCCTCTGTAGGTGGACCTGCAGGAGGGGTCACGTTGGTGATGGGGAACCAGCGTAAATTGGCGGCAGAAGGAAGAGGCTATAATATGGTCTGCGGTGACATGAGAATTATTGAAGGAAATGGGTTGGTTGGGGGCTTGACTGGCTGATTTGCCAGAGAGGGAGTGCAGGAGCGACCAGAATTTGGCTGGATTCCTCTGCAAGTTGGTGGACTGGACTTTCTTAATCCAGGTTGTGCGGGGAGTGAGTGGAAATGGCGGCTGAGATGTTGTTGTTGAGGTCCAGTAGGCTGGGGTGGTTGGGGTCCAGGGCTTGGGCTCTGCCATGCTCTTGCATGAGAGGGATGGCAGATGGTGGAAGGTTGGGAATGAAATCCCTTCTGCATCCATGGGGAATGTGACGGTGAGCTGCCATGGTGAGAATCCTCCTAAAGAGGAGGGGGGAGCAGCAGCACTAGGTGGTGCCTGTCTGTGCTGACATATGATTGAGTGGTAGCAAATATTGTACTAAAAAAATAATTCAATGATTATCTTCATGCAATAAAAATATTTATGTACTAGGCCTACAATTATATATCCTTTGTTTATTGGGGAAAATAGGTTCAAATGCTGGCAAAAATAACTGAAATTCATACTAATGTGAGAAGACCATTTTTATAATAATCTTTTTATGTGTAGAGACTAGCATTATAACTCTGAAACTGAATCAACTGTTTATATCAGTTTCAATATTTGCCTCTTTTCTGACAATCTCACTGACTTCAATTTCCAATGGATTGACATAACTTTACTAGCGAGCATTTGGTCAAATTGGTCTGGTACAAGGCTACAAGCCTTTGAAATAGGAGCATTTTTGGGAGCCATGGCATCCACTGGAGGTGAAAATGCAAACTAAGTTCAATACAAAACTGCCATCTTGACAATAAATTATTATATTTACTGATTACAGATGTCATGCCCGTCATGGTACTAGTTTGTCTCAAAACTGGATAATTTGATGCGGATTAACTAATTCCTGTTCCTGTATATTTAACCAATTGTATTTGTTGCTATGGTTTTCTCCAAATTTGAATAAAAACATCCTATTTTTCATTTTCACCACAAATTTTCAAAAATCACCTGGAAAAATTCTTTTTACCTGCAATTTTAGGAAAGTTTTCCCCAATATTCCAGATTGACTTCATCACTTTGTCTGATTATGATATTGCCAATATTATATTGCATTTAATTTCTCTTGGCACCTTCACAAATAGCAGGAAATCTCTAGTCATGGGCTCATGGCTCAAATGGTGGATGATATAATCATATAATGTACCCGTACCGTGTACGTATTCCATGCCAAACTTAGCCACATTAGGTTTGGTCACTTTGCTATTGCTAGTGGGAAAAATGTCTACTTTGTTTGGAAATTTTACAGCTCAAGAGCCCCCTTATATTTAGTCAATATGAAATTTACTGGCTCCATAGTCACATTATTTTATTTAATTGAAAATCTTGCAGTTACTAACTGCAACTGGGTGATTGGGTGTGGCGTGGCACGGAGGATCAGCACCTGCTTGTCTATAAAGTAAGCGCCAGCACGTGTTACTACGTGGGTCCCAGGGTCAGTGGGTGATGTGTGGAGTGAGTCACTGTGGACTGTGGAGCAGTAGCACTGGAGCAACCTCTCAATCTGTATTAATTCACAATTGTCACTGTGGACTGTGGTTAGCAGTGGAAGCTGGAACTCTGGAAGGTATAACATCCTTTAACATGGTAGGCTTTTTGATCTATTTTCTTACACAAACTTGAGAATATAGCTATAAGCTATTACCTATCCAGAATTCCACAAGTAGGCGATGTCCAAAAAACTTGACCTTGAGTCGTCTCAGCATTTTGCAGTATCGAGTGTTCATCGATCAACTTCAGGTGTTAATCTCAACGTTCTCTAGTTACCTACTAGCTAGTAGCCTAGTAGCTACTAAGCCTACTATTAGGTAGTAGTACCTTCGCCTCGCGGGCTTCGCCGGCGGCCGGCTCAACGCCTCGGAGCAAGCAAGGCAGCAGTGCATACTGCATAGCATCCACGGGCATTTTCAAAATTTGAAAAAGATGACGTGGCAACTGGCTGCTGTCATGGGAGTTCATCACAGTACACTTCTTGCTTCGGCGGTCAGAACAGCATAACTCCCTTTCTTACAAGATATAGGTAAGTTACACCCGTCAGTGACGGTCAGTCGTCACCGCACCGGGTGACCGTCTTCTTTCTAATTTATTCTTATAGGAGCACTGGAAGCTAGTCCATAAAGCCCCTTGCCTATTTAATTATGTACAATTCTCACCCGTTAACAACTAAAGGCCAACGACGAAAACAGTATTTAAAAGACATAACCGACAACATATGGCAGTTAACAAGGGCCAGGTTAATATATATAATATGCGATAGTTAAACAATAATTTTAGGTTCTGATATTCACAATTATTTGTATGTTATTCACGCTCGTTCTAGTGCCTTGCGCAACTTTCAGCTAGAGCCCTCCGGCAGCATCGATGAGGTAAGCAGCATGAATGCAGGCATATTCCTCTACAACAAAGTCATGCCGAGTACTCACCCGTGTGTTGTGAAAAATTAATAAATTCGCTGGGTGAGTAGGTTATCAAAGTGGTAAATAAAGAATTTATGGATGTATATCACGTAAAAGACTATTCGTTTTATAGCTAGAAGTAGATTGATAGGAATTTTGGCGTATTTTCATGTCGACTCAGTCTAGGGCTAGAGTAGTTAAAATCAGTAGAGCCACTGCCTCATGATGCTGACTCACAATAATGATTTATATTCTCATTAAATTGTTCCGTAGTAGTGCCAACTTTATTATTATTTGGGTCATTATACAAACTTCGTATACAATCTGTGAGTTACATTTTCTGGTTCATTTTATTGAACATGTCAGATGACGTTGAAATAATGTATGTCATGAATTAACCCTGTATGTAATTTCTGATGTTTAATTCCGCTTAGGGTTTCGTATTGTATTTGAGATTTGACTCATTATCCTTCGGGCCAACCTGAATATATAAAAATTATTCAAGCCAATCAGTTATATATCCATTGTATATCTTACGAGTTAATTATGTTTTCAGTGCATTCATCTAACGTTTATTGTTTTTTCAGGTCTCGCATATACGCACATCAGTTTATATGATCTCGTCTATGCTCCATTAACATCCTATATTTTCGCACGATTCTTA